TGAATACTAGCTTATAGACAGGTGAAGCCCTAGGTAGAACGAATGAATAAAATGTAGAATGTGTTTGGATGATTTCATCCAACACGGCTCCCAACTCCAGCGTCAATACTAACAACACGAACATGTGCTTGCCGCACAAGAACAACGCCGCCTCCGCAGCACCACAAGGAGTCATACCTCCGGCAATCCACAAAACATCCAGCCACAGGAGAAACTCAAAGGTTACGTAACTCCTCAATCTGACACCGCGAGGGAAGAAAGAACCAACAAAACCAAGGCCGTTGACCACCGCTAAACACACGATCACCCAGAACGCCAGGACCCAACCTCGTCGAAGACCAGCAACACAGCAAAACCACAAAAAACCAAAGGAAAAATCTTGAACAGCACCATCCACCGCCTCAAGTCAACGATGTGATCTGACACCGGAACTACAACTCGCTGGATGCCAAGGCAACGAGGCACCACCGCTCCACAACGCACCTTTGGCACTTCTGAACTTGGAACTGTAAGAGGGAACAAGAAGAACAACCAAAGAACCGCAACACAACAGCAGCCCAAAAACCAAGAGAATCAACCTAGCTCCAGCCGTAGCACCGCACTGCAGAAGAAAAAAACTAGTGGACCAAGCTGCAGGCACCGCAATTTGTGAAGCTTCCACACCAAAAAAAATTAGAGAGAAGGAGGACTGAGGCTGGGGCTCCGAACTACGCCTGACTCCGGGAACTCCTCCCTGAAATTCCGGAAAACAGCCTCCCTGGGTTTCCTGATAAATAGGACTCGTCTCCCTCCTTTTTCTTTTCTTTTTATTTTTTTTCATTTCTTTTTCTCTTTTCTTTTCGCTACTTGTTATTTTTTTTCCTACTACATATTTTTTTCTTTTTTTTTAATTGGTTCACACTAAGGATTTATCCTAAGATTCTTAACCTAATTAAAAATTCAATGACAATCAAAACTATAACTACTAGACCAATTCTTAATATTAGCTAAATTGATGAAATATGTATAATCCTCTTCAAATCCTTCTTAGAAATCCTACAAAAGATTGTATTTTCATAGCTAACATTCTAATTTTTTATTTGTCTACAAATTTCTACACTACTCACCACATATTGTGATTTTGAGCATAATAATTGCATTTTTTTTGTACTAAATACGCAAGTGAGTCAATTTTGTGACTCACATCCATGTTAGCCACTCAAAGTCAGCCATTGTTTTATAATTTGATTCATGCCAAGTAGTGTCATCACTTCTATGTAGTAGGAGTTGTCAATTCTCACCACAACCTTTGTTTGTCCATCAAACACCACACCACACTTGCACCCCCTTGCATCAATACATCATTGCAATAGGAAGGAACATAGTGAGATTGTCTCTCTTATATGAGTCATATCAAAAGTCACTTGCTTTAGCATTGGAGGAAATCCAACTAAGAATCTGTACTCCAATCTCTACAACCACTCTTTAGGAAACAAGAGGAGGGAGGGGGAATGGGGTTGAGATGAAGAAAGCTCTCGGAGGGATCTAGGGCTAGGAACAAGGGGGATTGAAATGTGAGCCATAACTATAATAATGGTTTTTGGAGATGATCCATTTTTATAATAATGGTTACAATAAAGGTAAATTAGTAAATAGGAGGATCACTTTAACATTTCCCTATATATATTATTATACTTTGTAAATCTCAATCAAAAGAGAATAAAAAAATTTGAAAAAAGTAAAAATAAAAACCGCCTTGACAATGTTCATTTTCACAGAGCCAAGAGAAGGCGACGTCATGGACGGAAACCTATGGATGAAGACCTCACGGACGGAAAAGATGGATGAAAACGCAAGGTTTAACTTTTCGACCCAGCGGACACCACCTGGTACCACTCACAGAGACCACTATGTAGGAAAAGGTGCGATCACTCGATGCGCTTCGATGTTTCGGTGCATCGCCTAACACCCATCACCACTCTTAGCAACGCTCATCGACCGATTTGAATACAGTCCCTCACTGCGAAGAATTCTTAATTCGAACTCTTCCTTGAGTTGATGTGATATTTTGCGTCTCTCCCGTTAGCTCCATGCATTGGTCGTCGCCAGGTTCTGGAGCTGGAGTATCTGAGCATGTGCTTTCATTTGCATTTTTTTTTTTTCTTTTTTTTTTTGGTCCCTTCGCGCAGGTGTGATATGATCGTGGCAAGCCGGAAGAACATAGATTTGCTAGTTTCTGCAGAAACCAATAAAACTACGATGAGCGGTAGGAGTTTTGAGCTGATAGAGTTGTTTGGTAACTTCGGGGACTTTTCTCGCTCTGGCCACGGTGGGAGTTGTGTCATGCGAATGAACTTCTGGGGCGTGAGGAAAACGTTAGCCTGTAGTGTGTTTGATTAATTGAATTGGGTCTCGTAATTGATTGAGCATCCATATCGCACATAGCATGTTAGGGCAGATGGAGTGCATTTGGGGTTTCACAGTTTTATTGGTTTTGAAAGTTTGGACTAGGCTTTAAGCTACAGAATCAAGTGGCTGCGTAGTTGACGTGTGTATGCCCACGGAATAATCATAATTTCAATTCTGAAATAGTGTCAAGATTCTGTAAGCATACAAGTAGTACGCACTGAAAACAAGTCATTTTTCAGTACGAAGTCTGCTTTTGGATGGCTACTTTTATCGAATTTAATTTCCGGTGATTCAGGCTTAGGCTCTATTTTGTTTGGTAATGGGCAGATGTCAAAGTGTTGCATAGTGCACCTGGGATGCTCACGGTGTCGCTTGCGGAATGCGCCGCATGGTATTTGACGGCTGCTGCCCAAACTGCAAATTTCAGGCCATGGCTGCCTCACTTCAGTATGTTTCTTTTCTGGATCTGTTTTTTGTTTAGGATAACCCCAGAACAGAATTTTACAAGTGTTGTTCCTTTTCCTTGATTGGCTCAGGATGATTGTAAGTTCGTTTTGTTTTCTGAATCAATAGCTAGTCATTATTTTGTATGACGATGTCCTGGTATCTTGTGAAGACTTTTCTGAATATTACTGAAGAAGATTCAGAGGTGGAGCAGTAGGGAGCTTCAGTTGAGCCCTAGGTGGTTCTTACTAAAACCATTTTCAAAACTTGCAATTGACATTTCCAGCTGATCGGATTGTGATTGTGACTGGATGCGAAATGTACATTTGTAAGTATTCTGCAATCTTATGAAATCACTGCTCCGCCCGTGGCTCTAGAAACGATGTTTTCTTGGTAGCGCGAGGAACATTCAATCATGCATTTCATCACCATTGTCTTTTGAAGTGGGTGGATTCACAAAGTCCATGATTGTAAGTGCCGGGAGGACTGGAAGTTTCAGGTATACTAGTTTAGGATGATGGTTCACATGGACATGAGACCTGATGTTCTTCATCTCTACATGCTGGATAGTTCCTGTTAAGGTGTTGGATTGATTCTCTGGAAAAATGTCTAAATTTGTGCTTTCAATTCTTTAATCCTACATGAGACACTTGTAGGATGCGTCTAGTAAAAGCGGAGGTAATTATGAAATTTGATTACATTTTACTTGCAACCTCCTCCCAAGTCTCATGTTCGTGTTGATGGGTATATTATATTTGAGCAAAATCTGGCATGAGTTTTATGATGGTCGAGTGGAATTAAATGTTATATTTGGTAGTTTTGTATCTTCAGGATTATGTCTTTGAAATCACATGGTATATAGATAGTTTATGAAGGAGTATATGTTGGAGATTAGTGTGTTTTATCAGCATTTAACTAACCAGTCAAAGTAGAGTCCAGAAGCATAAATTTTACAATCATGATATAATAAAGATATATATATATATACATACATATATACATACATACATAACAGAAAGCTTGGTTTCTACATTGGTTAATACTTAGAGCTATTTACAAATATAAGTTTCTTTTAAGCAAAGAGGTTTTGGTGTGCTGGTTTAGGTTGCAAGGTGGCTACGGTTTACTAAAGTTAGGGAGCTTAAACAGTGAAGGTGCTAGAACATGTCTTGCAGTACTCTGATAGGGTTATTTATTCATGGTGTGTGGTGTGCTCCGAGTCGGGCACAAAATAATGGGATAAGAGGAACGAACTTTGTGGAAAGTTAATTCTTTCCATCACATTGTTTTCGAGACGCTCTTCTTCCTAAAATGCCTGTTATATGCATGTCTTCTTGGTACAGTGTCGTGGTCTCGTCAGTGCGTGTGCTTTCTCTTTAATGTATCAGGATCCCTACTTTGACTCAACAAGGGTAGCACGAAAGAGACTAGACAGACGAGCACCAGAGGGTGACTCAATCGCCTCTCTTTTCTGTGAGTAAGATGCTCGTCGGTTGTGACTCTTTCGTGTGCTGGAGAGCCAAACGGATTCATCAGAAAATTTCGCTCTCCTTTGACTGGTTAGTTAAATTGTGCAGATGAGAGGAAATGGTGTGGTTGAGGGTTGTGGATGCCCTGGAGCTCTCTCTTCTACAGCTGCCGTGTACTCTGTTTTCAGAAAACATCCTTCATCAGTGAGTTGCATTTGAACCAGCTTTACGGTACAGATTGACGATTTTTGTTACTGTTACTAAATCACTGAAGAATAAGCGCAATTTTTTGTAATTGTCTCTTTCAAATCATTTTCAAATGTTCGTCACAACGCCTCTCGCATCTCACAGGTTCACCACTGTTCCAGCTCTCTAAGCTAGCTTTTACCGTTTTGATACTCCAACAGAAACATTTTCTCACACCTGTTCGCTAGTAGTAGTCTCTCATAATTAGTGTAGAACCGTCAAGGGCACATGTTCTGCAGTTTGATCACAGAGAATTGAATATATACTATCGTCTCTGTAGGAATAGAACTGTACAACATATGGTTACAATTCTGTAAAATGTTCCGAATACGAGGTGCGCAGGCTTGTGTCATTATCGATTATGGCATTGTCCAATGTAATCAACATGACAGTTAATGACAGTGAAGGATGGATGATATTCATATTGGTGTTCTTTCAATCTTGAAAGGATTCTACATTGAACAGGTTACAATTTTCCCTTGTCGGAAAATGTGGAGATCACTTGTCACTGGTTTCATGTGTATACTGATCAGATTTCATAGAAAGCTATGCACGACTTATTTGGTTAGCTCCAGTGTCTTAGGATGTTACCCAACTTCTATCCAAGGTGCATCACATAAATTGCAGCGCATCCCTGTTCAGCCAATGCTCTATTGTTGCCCAGTGACAGAAAGAATTCAGGAGGGACCATTGAATGTCACCACCTCCCACTTAATCAGATATTAAAAAATCGTTATCACAATTATGCTCACCTTATCTCTACTCCTACGAGAAACCTCACAATAATCAAGCATGTGTTCCCTACTCTGGTAAGGGGAGAACATGTTCATCGGAACGTTGCGCACAACATTCTTACTAAGACCTAGACAAACCATGTCAAGTGGATGATTTGAACTGTATCGCTTTTTGCGCCATCCCCTCTATGGTCAAATCGAAAGCGTCCCGCATGGACTCTGACAGATCCTTGCTCTTTGGGTGCCTGTATAGCACGTTCGGGATAATTCCGATCAATCGCTCTCGCATTTGCTCCACCTGCTTCGCTGAGTACCCTTCCAGGATTTTCTTCACGTCCGCTTTGCCGTTTTTTATGTCCTCCTCGTCGATGAAGACTGAGAAATTGTCGTAGTCATTGGGCAAATGCCATCGATACTGCGTGAAGGCTGTGTCCTTATGGAAAAACACAGGAATACATCCCGACACGATGGAATCTATCACAGATCGCCGGGTCGCTGTGTCGCCACGGGGCTGTAAACAAAACTTAGCTTGCAACAAACTAGTGTAAATTGGTTGCGGTTCGTGGCTGCACTTAATTTTACCGCAATCCAATCGAGAACACGCACTGCCAGCTTGAGTACACTGCTGGGACAAAATTTCCCGTATGCTAAAGACCAACTGCGGTCGCAGTGCACCTGAAAACGAGAATAGATACTTTCGGGTCGAGGATCGAACCAATTTGATCCACGATTGCAAACTAGCGCTCGTGGACGGGTGGAATCCTACGGGGTATGGGACGGCCATCTCATCGCCCCTCCATGACCTCCGCTCCAGCAGCATGGCTGTAGTATTCTCCATCTCTGGATTGCTGAATAAGGAAGTGCCCCACCAAGTCACTGCCGTCAACGGTCTACAGAAATCCCAAGCTGTCCGCCCAGCTATGAGAAAATGGTCGTGGCCTCCATGTCGCCTCCATGTCTGCGTAGCATTCGCCTCTAACCATTCCACAAGTTCTCGGCCTTGTTGCAGACGTCTCTTGCCATCTGTGTAGAGGTAAGGCAGTGCTTCCAGGCCAGAGAAGAAGGGGATGAAGAACAAGTCCGCCTCTCCGGGATTCGACGTCCTACAGGTGTAAGTCCGCATTCGCTCATAGAAGATCACCTCCAGCATGTAGGCATCGGTGCCGTACCAATCCTTACGGAAATTATTATTGGTTGTATTCACCGCGATGCCAAACCCATAATTCTGATGATGAGCGCAGAAGTTGAGCCAAGGAACAAGTTTTCCGCTGCAGTTCTTAAGGATGTCTATGTTCATTGAGGGTGGCAAATCGTATGTGTATACGCGGCGACCATCGCAAGATATAGTAACCTCCCTTCCGTGCTTCTTCAATTGTGGTTCAGGTTCCACTTTCTGTTCCTGCTCCGATTGCTTGGATTGAAAAATTCCGTGTCCATGTTCGGCTCCCAGTTCCTTGGAATATTTAATTTTAGGTTTCGAACCCTCTTGATGTTCCTCTGGAAAACCCGCTTGCTTATGTTCGGCAGATCTAGAATCCAGTTTCACCTGTTGTTCATGCTCGTCGTCGACTCGTTGCTGATGCTTAACTTCAGCGTGCTGATCTTGCACATCTTCCAGATGTTGCTCAAGCTCATCTTCAGCCTGTTGACCTTGCCCATCTTCCACCCGTTGCTCATGCTCGTCATCCACCTGCTTCTCATGCTCGTCTTCCATCTGCTTCTCATGCTCGTCTTCCATCTGCTTCTCATGCTCGTCTTCCACCTGCTTCTCATGCTCGTCTTCCACCTGCTTCTCATGCTCGTCTTCCACCTGCTTCTCATGCTCGTCTTCCACTCGTTGCTTGTTCTTAACTTCAGCGTGCCGACCATGCACATCTTCCAGATGTTGCTCAAGCTCATCTTCAGCCTGCTGAGCATGCCTATTTTCCGCCCGTTGCTCATGCTTGTCTTCCGCATGCTGATCCTGCTCCTCATCCTCCTGCCCAGATCGAAGCGCTCCTTCTTCCTGTTCCACTTCCCGTCGTTCCGAACGAGTAGCTTCTGAATCCCCTTGCACTTGTTCCTTCATCTCATTTTCCAGAAGCTTAGATTGATCCGCTTCTGTTTTCGTTTCCTGGGCTACCTCAACCGCTGGAATGGATTGCGTATTCAGCTGTAAAGATTCACCGACGGCCATCGAGGCAATTGATTCGGGAGTGGAAGGAGCAGAGGGCATTGGCCGACACATCACTGTTATCAAAATGAGGAGAACAGTCACGGAACAGCACACGTGCATGAATTTGCATCTTGGCTTTCTCATGTGGTGCTGTTTTGAATACTTCCGAGAGAGCAACGAATACATCTTTGGTAATTCCTAAACTCGCGGAAGGCGAGTGCACTGAACAATTCAGTTGAACCCTTTCGTCAATCCTAATTATCTTCCGACCGATCACATCTAGGGCGATCACCTCGTAGAACCTAACACTAGCCCCCGAAGGCACATGCACTTTACAACCTAGATGTCTCTGAGTTCGAACAGGTGAAAGTGGATTCTAGATCTGCCGAACATGGTGTTTATGCACCTTGACGTTTCTTATGACCTATGAAACCTGCATAAACACGATAAGCCTTTCGCCTCAGTTGTAATTCTGCGCCGAACAGCTGTACACGCTCAGAGGCGCATAAGAAGTCCTGAATTTGGTTTATCTGCCACAGCTTCAAATCTACCAACAACCTTCTAGATTCAATTAGACTCCAAATCCGACTCACGGTCTGCATCCTCGTGCACGAACGGAATGAAATCACAGCCACGATAGCAACATCACCTCCGGCAGTTCCGTCTTGAGTCACCTAGCTACCACCCCTCAAACACACCTCGACGCACGCTTCGTTGTTCAGCCAAACCTACCCATCAGAGCCCGCGATCAGAACCAAGGGGAAAATAAAAATCCACGCCGCGTGGACCTTTCCCGTTTAGAAGCCACTTTCACATGAACAGGGAGGAAAAACAGTAAGGTTACCGTCACTACAGTGAGAACTAGGGCAAACTCGAGAGGACTGGGGGGGGCAGACAAGAAGCAGAGAGAGGGAGAGAGCGCGATGGGAATAAGTGTTCCAGACAACGAGTGAAATGGGTAGCAGAGAATTATTTGCGGAAGTTGACTGACGCGCAAAGCTGCGAGAGCGTGGCGCCTTACGTCACGAAACGAAGCAGCAGAGCAGGGGAGGGTATGAGGATATGATGACCACCCAGCAGCTGCATGGGTGGGAGTGCCTGTTTACTGCTCTGAGAGCAGGGACAGCTCTGCTCCACGCAGTGGAGCACCAGAGAATGATAGAGCAGGCCGACCGAGCAGCACGGAGGGGCAACCTGCATCAACCTGCATCAACCTGAATCGACCTTCGATGCACACCTCCAATCTGCCCCAAGGTCAGAAAGCGCTGGGGACACAGCTAGAGATGGTGAGAAACTATCTCGGGAGCATACACCAATGCCCACAGACAAGCGAAGCTGTATGCCTACATTATCGCCATCTGCGGCACTGCCTCTGTAATTATCTGCGTATCATGCTTTCTTCACTTATGAAGAACCTCACTGCTAGCTTCCTTTCGGTGCACACGAGGAATTACAGTGCTATACAATAACATCGATCCAGATGAATTCATTCATCCACCCAACATTCATTCATCTATCCAAAACACGAGGTTACGTAGAGGATCAAAACAGGATACTAAAGCTTGTTTTTAGCACCGAGTTGGAGGATATTGTCAATAGGATGACCTAAAGATAACTCTTTGAGCAAATGGTGTAATGAAGGCATTTTTCGATCGATTTTAGGGGTTGTAAGAAGATACTATTTAAAAATGGTGATGTAGGTCCTGGTCCAAGGAGCATTCCAGAATGGCTATTGTGGTAGCATTTTTTTTTTGCATAAAAGTGGTGGGAGAGCATAACTAGGAAATCTAAGACTAGTAATTCTGTTAAATTCTACTTGTGAGATATGTGTTGGGGCACTTCAAATACAATTACAACCAGTAATAATGAAGATCATTAACATTGATCAAACATTACTCCTAAACATGAGATTTGTTTTAGATAAAGTATTAGACACCTGGGAAACAATCCAATAAAACAAGATCTCAAAACAAACTCAATTTTGTTTGGAACTCTATTTTCCTATAACATGTAATTAGATATTGTGATCTTTTATCTTTTCAAAAAAATAAAAATTGGAAATTTATCACATGCTTATTGTTATGATCAAAATGCAACTAATGCAATGGTTTGTGTATATGCCTAGATATGTATATATATATATATATAGAGAGAGAGAGAGAGAGAGAGAGAGAGAGAGAGGATAGTTGATTTTATTTATTTTTTTAATAAAACTGAATTTATTAAATTATGTATATATACATGAAAATTTTAGGATTATTATGAAAAAAAAATGAAAGAAAAAAGAGTCACTTTTCTAAAATATTCATGTAATAGAATGGATTCTTTGGTCCCTACACACAACCACATCAACATTCCAATAAGTAGTATGTGGTGAAACAACTACTGGAACATTCTTTCATCTACCAGAGCATCTTCACGTGGAGGTGTTTTATTGCATCAAATCTGATCCCATGTGAAAAGAATAGAGAAAGTGAACAAATAGACAAAATAAGATATGGGAATAGTCACTTCAATTCTGTTTTCTTTATATTACTATCTGATGTTACTAAAATCATAAGTATATTACTAACTGATGTATACATTAAACTGGCATCACAAGTACAAAGGATCATGCAAAGTGTGGTTCAACATCACTCCCAGGGGACCCTTCACTATCTCTAAATGCCCTCCTTGATGCTAATTGTATCCCCCAATCATCCCTTCGAACTTCTTACTAAGTGCCTTCAACCACTGTTCCATTCAAAACATCACTTCATGGCTTTCTGTTGAATAGTTCTGAGGTTCAGAAATAACTCCCTGTGCATTTAATATGGAAGAAAGCCAAAACAATGGTAACCCAACAGTTTCATCAAAATTACACACAGGATTGTTGTTTATACTTTTTGGCCCTCAATAACTCGACCTAAATAATGCCAAAGAGCAATATAGAGGCTGCATCATGAAAATCATATGCATGTTCCACCAAGAGCAAGTGCAAGAAAAATCATAAACCCCTCCCAAAAAGAAATGAATCCACGGCCAGCTTTGAATACGATGCTGCCGTTCTCTTGCAGTAATTAGAGGTATTGAATGCGAAGCCAGAGCTTTGCTTAATTGCTGATGAGTGGGTCCTGGAGTCTGTGAGGGATCCTGTCTATGCCGTCACTCTGACCTAGACCAGAGAGGAGCTAAGGTTCCTCAATCGAGCCCACCTGTCACACTTTCTGACCGCGAATATTATAACTTGCAGCACCTCGGAGCTCCAGGATCGGTGGGTTGCAAATTGACGCCCATGCCACGCTCGAATAATGCCGAGTAAATGTGGACGGAGGGGGGAGTGGGGGGGGGGGGGAGAGAGATTTATGCTTCTCCGCACTATTCCTTCATGCCCATCTGTCGAAGCCGATAACCCGCGACCAGAAGTTGAGGAGCAGGAACTACAAATCTGAGACTCAAATGTTTCTCAGTATAGACGAATTAGGGAGAGAGAGAGAGAGATGCGTTCGGTGATCCTCAAAGATGCGTCTCATGCAAATAAATCGACACTGTTTCGCCTGAAAGCACGACGCCGCAGCACAGAAACTTAGCGTAGAAACGCTTTTGGTTTTGATCCTGATCCGTCATCGCAGGCTGAGGACGAATTGCTTTACCATATTTTTCCCCTAATTGTGTGGCTCTCTCTCCCTTTTTATCAATACACAGTAAACAACGCGTTGTTTTCTATAAAAAAATTATTGAAAAATCGCACGTCAATTTTTTTTAATATGACACAACCGCCCCCTCTTAAATTAGGGAGTATTTCTTTTTCGGGTTGGTATTGCCATCATCTCTGTTCCTGTCCTTCCCATTCTTGAGTTCTCTTGGATTTTTAATGTTCTTTTTCGGTTATAACTGTGTTTGATTTTTTTAGTCTGTTTTAGAATTTAAAGTCTTGGATTGACATTTATTGGAAACACACTTTTTATTTCAATAATAATGGGAAAGGAAACATTGATGCCTAAATGTGAAAATGAATCTCGAAAGAAAAGGAAACTCTTGAAGGAAAAAAAATAAAAGAACTTCTGGTGGTGACACTTTATAAAGATTAGTATGGTGGAGATATGCTTAAAACACTTTGATATCTATAAAAGATCAAAGGCTAAAGCTTCAAACACACCTTAAATTGCTACATGCACATCCATTTTATCAATACACACCTCCAAAAACTTTGATTTGGGTAATCCAAATTCCTTCTTTCTTGTCTTGAACAAGAAAAGAGAGGAGTAAAACTTGTGCTAAGGCAAGGAAGAAGGGGAGAGGGGACTAAGACTTGTGCCATAACAAAGAAGGGATCTGAATCAACCAATCAAAGGTCATGGGTGTGTATACAGACATAATAGATGTGTGTACAATAATGCTTGTAGCATGAGCTTAAGATCAAAATGCCAAACTTGTAAATTTTTAGAAACAAAAAGAAGCAAATATACATTCATAATATTTACAACATATACAATATACAATTTTTAAAAATTATACTACAATATACATAAGTATGTTGTCTTGTATTATTATTTTTTTAATTGAAAAAAATGATATTTCACATTTATATATATATATATATATATATATATATATTTGAATTATAGAAAAATAAATTTAGCTTATTTTTGTGCAAATAAAAAAAATTAAAATTTATTAAGTATCTAATATTATAAATTATCTCAATTAAAATGTTAAAAATATAATTAACATAAATGAATTAAAAATGATGTAGTAATTATAATTTAAAAAATTCATAATATTTGGTTTGTTATTTTTCTTTGTTTAGTATATTTTTGAGTTTTTTGTAAAAAAATTATACTTTCTTAAGTTTTATTTTAATTACATATCTTATTTTAATATCAACTACATGTTAGATATCCATTTTAAAATTTAATTTTATCATTATAAATATTTAATTTTAATTGCTTACTTTTTAATATTTTTTTAAAGTATATATAATATTTATATATATATATATATATATATATATATATATATATACTATTTTTTTAACAATTCTTCAAGAACAACCAAAAAATAAGCTTCAGTTTTCAATGGTTCAACTTTGTTGAGCTTATCAATGGATGCCTCAACTTCCTAAATAATAGACTCTTCACTTGAGAGTTTTGTTACAAATGCATCAATCTCTTTTTCAATAGAATAGGGCTCTATTGACCTCACAAGCTTCTCTAGAATAGCATCTTCTATTCATAGGACTTCCTTTCCTTCAATAATTGGATTTTTTTCCATAGTAATAACTCTATTATCATAGACAAATGTATTTATTCCAATAATTACCTATATGATTAAGTAGAAGTAGATGAAAATAAATTGATTTCATAATATCTTTTGAAAAAGCTTTTTAGAAGCTTCATAGATGCTCCTTTGATTTTATACATGTTTATAATTAATTGACAAGTTAAAAATTTGGTCAACAAGTTAGATACGTATCACATGTGTTAATAGCTTGTAAAACAAGCTAATTATATGGTCCGCATATAACTTGTCTTGAAAGTTAAGACATGTGTCTAACAAAGTCATGACGTGCTCGAAGAAGACATAAATATGCTTCTCCTTTTGAAACATATAGGCGTCCTTCAAAATAGAGAAGTTTGTTCTTGAACTTGAACTTCGAAATATCATGAGACTTAAAAGAAAGACTCTTGATATCATGAATAAGAGGATCAGAAGACATACTTAATTGGATTTGTTTGATAAAGGTTGAATCAACAATCAATGTTGATTTTATTGCTCGAAGATGAAAATCCTTGGATTTCAAGAGAATTATTCTTTGTTGATCAAAAGATGCATCTCCTTCTTTTGGTCAAAGATAAGAATGTCTAAAAAGGGCGTCTAATAGATCTTTTTATTTTTTGGATGGATAAATAATCTTGAAATTGAATCTGAATAAAGATATACTCTAATGGACTTCACAACAATTCAAAATACATGCTAACATGAAGTACTCGAGGTTCTTATGATCCATATACATGGTAACTAGACTTGAAGTACATTTTAGATAATGATGTCATTCTTGAAATGAATCTACAATCATAAGGAGATTTTTATCATGGATCTCATAATTAATTTTGACTGTTGAAAATTTCTTGGAATGAAAAGCCAATAAGTGGATTTTATCATATATTCCTATTTGTGACAACAAAGCACCCATAGCAAAGTCTAACACATCTGTTTCCATAAAAAATGGCTTGAAAAAGTCAACCCAATACAAGATTGGTGCAGAAGTAAATTTCTTCTTTAAAGCATTAAATGATGCTTTTGCTTCTTTATTCCACTCAAGTTTGTCTTTACAAGTCAAACATATAAGTAGGGCTACAACTTGAAAAAAGTTCTTGATGAAGATTCAATAGTAAATAGCAGAGCCTAAAAAATATTGTACATCTT